GGGGGCGTACGTAGTAAGCCGCAAGTCATTCACACAGTCAAGATAATTGAGCACAATCGGGACAAACCTACCTTTTCACCACCAGACATTCTGTTCTCATTGTTATTAAGAAACTTTCTCTTCGGTGAGAAACCAAAGACATCATGTAGGAACTCATTTTCCTATTAGCCAAGGGAGAAGATGTTAAAAGGAAGGGGTAAACATGAGCTCAACATTATTATACAATAACCAGAAGCATGCCAAACAAAAATGCAACAGAAAGCCAACCTGCATATGCTTAACGAATCCTCCTCCAAGAAAATGCTTGATAAAATTCAACTGCAAAAATCTTGATGTCAAAATGCTAAAACAAAAAGAGATCTCAGCAAATGTAAAAAGAAAGCACGCGAGAAAAACCTGTATCATTTTAGACCATGATGATGCTTGCAGGGAATCACCACCAATTTTCATTGAAATTTCCGGGGAGTAACCATACTAGTAGTAATATCACAAGGTAAGATCAGTACAGAAGCCTCAGCTTAATGAGCAATACTTCTTTTATTCTCAGATAATAATTATAGTAGTGGTAATAATAACAACTAACATACCTCAAAAAATTCAAAGATATCTCGGAACAAGTTCTTCTGACTATTAAGATCTTTTTTTGCAGAACCTTTTCCACCAGCCTCCACAGAAAGATCTTTGCACTGATTTATTACCTTTCCTTTCAGTCCTTGTAAAAATATGTAGCTTTCAAGTGGTTTACTTTCTTTTTGCGTTGCATCACTTGCACTGTCTGACACAGCAGAAAATTTATCTATAACTCCAATCTCAAAAATTAGAGCCAGTGCTTCACCAGCAGCAATTCTAACAGACCTATCTTCCTTGTCTAGAAGACTAGATAAATAAGAGATTGAGCTGCATAAACAACAAAACATTAAGTAAGTTAATTCTCAGGCATTGCTACATGGAATTCAATTCTATATGGTAAGGGTATACTATATATTGTCGCTACAAATAAAATAAAACATATAAAACATATATAATAATTTAAATCTGAAAAAAATAATCCTGGTCCGCATAATATCGTCCAAAGAATCTAATTCTACCCAGCTCGCACAGCATAGCTACATTAAAATAACTGAAAAGTAAGCAAATGGAGTGCTTAAAAATAATTCATGAAAAAATAGTGGTGGAATCAACAAAATCAAAAAAGCAGTAGGCATGGTTTGCCATTAGGATAGCAATTTTCTTAAGGGTTGATAATTTAAATATCAAATATTCAAGTCATTTCATGATAAACTTAATAGGTCAGAATAAACAACTTTTTTAACTCAAACTTCAAATCTAGAGTAGCTATAGAACATTTAAGTTCAACTATTATATCCATTTTTCTTGATTAAAAGATATTTCAAATGCTTTAAAGTCAATTTTTGGCTTCCACTCGTGCAATAATTGGATAAAGGATTTCTTCTCTCCCAATAGCACAACCATAGCAGCATAGCAGCCCCTAGTTCCTAACAGGACTGCCACCATCAGAGCTGTTTAATGCAGCACTTGTCACAGACAAAATAGCGGCTGTAGCAGATGTGGGATAGTGGCACAATCTCTTGATTCCAAAAAAAACCCTTTGAACACCAACGTTAGGGCTTGTTTGGGAGACTATTTTGTGGATTTCAATTTCCAAAACAAAATTTTGCTTATAAAATCAATCAAATCTGAAAACAGCACTCCAGAGACTGGTTTCTCTTCTCTGCCAACTAGTTTCTCACTTTCTCTGCCTCTTTTCTCTTCCCCAGTGACTGGTTTCTGGTTTCTCCTCTCTCTGGTGACTGAGTCTGTTAGAATATTACTTCCTCTGCCTATATATCAAGCAACCTCTGCTTCTCTTGTTAGTCCCACGATTGCTGCCTCTTGTACTTGGTCATATGGAAATACATAGGAAACTTGTATTGGAATTTTGTTGGTGTTTACTAGTATGTTTGTTTAGGCACCTATGATTTTTTAATTAATAATTATGAATATCATCAATACTGAGCATCTTTTACAATTTTTGAGAATTTATATTCATATAGTATACATTACATAAACCATATAAAAGTTTCAGAATAGCAGCTATCCCACTATAGCGTTTTTGGGGCCAGCCCCCATGTGCCACTATCCAGGATTTACAACACTTGATTAGAGTGGTTCCACATCATCTTTGGCATTAATGAGCAAAATAATTTAGCTATCACAGGCCTCAAACAAAACCCATGAGATTGAAATGTACACTGGCATGTTACATAACAACAGAATTAAATTAAAAAACAGATGCAAAAGAATAGACTTCTTACCTTTGCCAATTTTTGGAATTTAGCTTCAAATTGCTCACAGTAGAGAGGAGAAAAGACCACGCAGACACCACAGTGGCTATTAATGGAGCAGAAGGTTTGACAGCAACAACCTATACATGGGGAATAAGTTATGGTCCTTTTACTTAATTTAACACAACTACTATCAGAAACAAACGAGTCAATCCTACTAGCAAGGGCTGATTAGCAAATAGTACAAATCAATATATTTGAAACAGATACCTACATTGGAACCTAACTTGGGATTAATCACTCGCCACATTATGTCCATTGATCGTTCTGTTTCTTCTTGATCATTCCCTCCAACAAAAGTGATTATAGCCAAACACTCCAGCAACTACAAACATACATGGCATTAAGTAGATAATACTCAGGATCAAAGACTGTAAAGAATCACAAGAAATTTGAATACAAGATTCTGCAGTATTTCCAAGCTCCTACTTACTGAGGGTGCCTTTGAAACATCAATCCTAGATGTGAGAGATTCATCCAAAGGACGAATAGATTCTTCAAATATCTCACGAGCGTTGTCACCACATCCAACAGTCAAGGCCAGACAACCTTATGAATTAATGGCATTAAATATTAAATATTCAGGTTAAATGAAATCAATATGAAACATGCATAAGTTACTCAAACTCTTACCAATGGCATGAGATGCCAAAGCTATCTCCTTAGCAGATGCTTTTTTGGATCCCTTTTTTATTGAAGCAAGACATTGATGTAATAAGGTAGCAAATCTGTTTAAAGAAAGCACTTCAAGTTTATGACAATAACCCCTTGTCGAGAGATAAATAAATATACAAGTGATTATATACAGATAGGACGGTGAAATTGCAAGTTAATGTAGAAATAGTGCCATCCACACAACCTTAAAATACAAGGTTCATAATTGGAATAATATATCTAAAGTTAGGGTGATATATCGATAACTTTGTTCACCAGTTGATCTCGTATTTTCAAAATATATGGCCATGTTTAACAAAGCACACTTCTTTTGTAATAAAAACAAGAATCTAATAGTTATGACATAATTATTATAAATGTAAACCAACTCAACAAAGTCGCCGAAATTACAAATGCAAGTGCACTTAAATTAAATTGTAAAAACAATAGCACAACAGAACAAGTTAAATAAAATAACGATGAGAGCTTACTTCTTTTCCACAAACTGATATTGCATGTTGGTATTGAAAGCGTCAATGATGGATGACAAAGCTTTCTCCCTCGTGGAACCCCTTCATAAATTGAAAAGCAGGTAAAAATCCCTTCAGCTCCATCCCCCATGTCAATTTATTTTGATAATGTAAAGCAAAGTACCTTTTCTCATCTAATGCATCGAGAGCTTGGTCGAGCAAGGAATCTTGAACAAACTGCACATCTTCACCCCCAGACACGGACATCAAATCAGAGCGAGCAGTTGACGACGAAGTCACGCTACTATCATCATCGCTATCGAACATCGCAGCACTTTTACGTTGAGAATTACCTAAAAGCAGCAGAAAAAATTACAAATAATTAGATAATCGGAAAATTCAATTGAGCTGGATCGATAATCGCATGCGGAAGGGACAGGGCGAGAAGAAACCCTAGGAATTAGGGGCTTACGCTTTCCCATGACAACGGCTTCTACGGTTAGTTAGTTAGGGTTACTACGGTATTTGTGTTACAAAAAGGAATCGGAATTAGAGAAAGAGAGAGATGAACAAGTATCGAGTATGCGTAGGGCGGAAACAGAATGGAAAGGTATGGGAATTGAGAAAGAAAAGAAGAACAGCGACGTCACTGGTTTTGAATCGGATGATGAACAAGCCATTAAAATTCTAAGAGGATCTGTTTGAATTCGAGAGAGGAAACGTTCGCGACTAAGATTGGGATTTCGTGTTTTATCTAAATAGGTGATGGAACCCTAAATTGTAAAAACGAGGCTTTGGCGTTTTTATTTTATTTTTATTGTGACCAAATAAAGGGAATAATTCTAAGCGGGTGGGGGAATATCTGGTGGATGTGCTGTTGCGTGGCTTTGTCCCTTTGCACATGGACACGTGGCTTTCATCTGTGGCCTTACTCGCTTCCGCGGCTGCGTGGAGGTGGAACACGTGACGTGACAAGGGTGTTCACCTTTATTTCATTTCATCATGCCCAGTTTCACCAACTTTCTAGGAAGTACGCTTATGTAAGGAAAGACCATTCTTGGAAGTTTAAAATGGTGAGAAGCTTTGGACTTTGGAGGGTTTACCAATTAGACGAATTAGCTTGCTAGGAACATGGTACAACAAATAAGAAAAAATAAAATATATAGTACTTATTTAGGTCAAAAACAGTTACACTTGGATAAGTTAGATTAAGGTAAGAGGATAAAAATAAAGATTTTAAAAATTGGAGAGAAATAAAAAATTAGGTAGTACTAGCTTACAAGAAAAACAATTTATTTAGTCAAGTGGCATGAGAATATTAGTAAGACAGACTGCGTAACGGTCGATTTTGAATAGGTTCAGGCCCGAATTTTCAAAATTGATGAAATTCAAGCTATATATTTTTTTTAGCCGTAGTCGATTGATCATTACATTAGAGCAATCGGGTGGAGGCCTTGGATTGATCGGATTTGGTGGGTGGGTATTTCAATTTGCATGAGTAAGGGAGTGGAGGTGTGGAACGGAGCAGAGTAATGGAGGCGCAAAACAGAAACCCAACAGTGGAAAGAAAAAAGAAAACTGAAAAGAAGAGAAAGAAAGACCTATCCAACCATCAAGAACAAGCGATGGAGTGATGGAAGAGAAGAAGAAGAGAAAAAAGAGGCCTTGCAAAACTGGGAGCAACGAGTGAGGAAGATCTGGTGCTGCAGTTGCACCAGTGTAACAAAAAAATCTAAACAATCTTATAGTATTATTTTTCTTAAATCAAATAACAAAAATTTCACCTCATTTTCTATTTATTCAGAAGTCTTCAAAGAGGTGGATAGTAGGTTCTGGTCTTGATCTAAACTTTTCTTTATCAAAAAAAATCTATTTTTTCTCTTTTCCTTTTTTTCTATCCTGTTCCCATCAGTAATATATTTACTCTTTATTTAATGAAATTTACTAATAATTTGTAATTTTTAAATTGTGTTGATGAATAGCTAAGTTTTTTTTTTTTTTTCTTTTTGTGAGGGAAGTCAGCTACGGAAAATATAGCTCTCATTGCGGGAGTATCACAAGTCACAACTCACAACCAAGTTTTCAAAAAATGGGCCTCCTTTTTTGACATAACAAGTCATGGTCCGGATAAAATTACCGGCCTATTATGATAGTTATTGGGCTCTCCTCCAAAATATTCTTCTTACTACACTTGTCACTATTTCTTATAATGTTTTTGTCGTGATTGAATCTAATTTTCGATCAAATAAGATTCATGATATATACACTTCCTTTTTTTCTATAAGTACACCTCCTTTTTATAAAAAATAATTAAAATTTTAAAATATTCTGAATTTTTTTTATTTTTTGTTTTTAATTTTTAATTTTACATATACAATATTTAATTTAGTAGTTTTTTTCACACATCTTCCCTTTTATTTTTCAATTTTTACATGCACCCCCTTACCTTTCTTTCACCACACCTATTTTGGTAGCATGTAAAAATTAAAAGAGAAAAAAAAAAGTGAGTGAAAAAAAAGAAGAAAGTAGCAAATTGAAAATTAGAGATGTAAAATTAAAAAATTTAAAAAAAAAAAACTACAATATTTTATAATTCTTTTAAAAAAAAAATAAAAGAGGTGTACTTATAAAAAAAAATAAAAAAAAAATAAAAAAAAGGTGTATATATCATGAGTCCCAAATAAAAGACTTGAAGTACTCTTAGCCATAGTTTGGATATCAGAACAGGTGGACCCAATCCGTGTCAGAATATATAGTTTTTGGGCTTTTAGCCCTCCTGCCTTGGGCCTCCTGTGTGTCCAACAAATTGTGGGCATTCCACGTGGCCGAAGGAAAATGAGTGACTCAAACAAGGAATCGGAGTGCTGGAAGTAGCATTGACGTAAGGAACGAAACATGTGTTGTTCATGTCTATAGCAAGAACTTGCATATAATGATCGTTTCAACTTTATGGATATGTATTGATTTCTCATCAACAGTTTAAATTAGTTACTTGATCTTTTAAAGAGTTTACATCCGAAAAAACCCAACAATTTAAATTAGTTACTTGATCTTTTAAAGAGTTCACATTCAAAAAAAAAATTCAAGTTAGACAATTAAATAGTATATAAGTGAAAAGTAATCTCCATCTTATAAGTCAATTTTATAAAATTGAGTTAGACTCAAATTTAAAAGAGGTCACTTACGCTAATATATATTGAGAAACCGAAAAACCTAAATCTCAGGATGACTTGTAAACCCTAAACTTAAATTATGTCGTGATTAACTAATAATTTATTTCTTTGATAGATATATGTATTTTGGTTATAGCAAAGAGATGATGGTGATAGGGTCCATGAATGATATGGTATGGGGAGTTAGGGAGGGGTTGCTCTTATCTGTGTTTGGAAATGATGCTGTTGTCACAAAGTGTGGTGCTAGAATACAAAGCATGCAAAGACGTTAAAATGTGAAGGCTAGGCCCGGAAGGGGAAGTGATGGTGGTTGTAAAATAGGCATGTGAGCACACTGCCCGGGGGTTTTGGGAGTGGGAAATTTGAATAGCAAAGAATGGATAGGGACAGTCAAAGCATTGGGATTTGGGAATACGCTGAGTACCCTGTGAAATACAAGGTAAGATGAACAGGCACTTTTGTTGAAAGAAATGGTGTGGGAGTTAGTGGTTGTGGCCTGTGGGGTATAACCCTCCCATTTGGTGTCAGATAATTTATAAGGCACCCACCACAATCATGTTTATCCCCCCTCTCCCCCCCTTCACCTAAATACACATCATTCAGTTTACCACCTTCAATTCTACATGCCTCCTTCCTTCACCAACCTCCATGCCCCTACCTTCAACATTATTTCTTTTTTATTTTTTATTTTATTTATTTTCTGCAATAGGTTGGTGGGTTACTATTCATTATTCACTATTCTCATCAACATTATACATAGCTTGTAACTTGTAAGTAGCGTGTATATATATACTAGTATAATCAGCTAGCAAGAAATTGGTACAAAATTAAAGTGATTAACTACAACACGCTTTTTGACGATCGTACGTGTATATAATCTAGAAAGTAGAAAGTGATGATATGATACAAATTAAAGTGATTCATTAGACATTTAGACACCCTTTCAATCTCTCATAACTTGGTGGAATCAATAGCATATGATTATATATCTGTTTTTGAAGTCGTACAGCTAGTGTCATTGACCAGACAATGAGGGCAAATTAATGTGTATTTTCTGCAATGTGACAGATTTGCATGGTGCAGCTTTCACCAGGAGAGTAACTCCAAATTAGGTTGTTTGTTTTGGGCTCTAGATATCCTCTTTTTCTACATAATTGAATACTTGAATATCTGCTCGAAATCCAAGCATGCTTCTGTAAAATAATTAACTTCCAATAAAAGAGAAGAATTCTTTAATTGCACGTACGACGTACATATTGATGAAATAAAAAACTCTCGAAAGAGTGCGGTATATGCATGTAGCCACTTGACAATTTTCCTTCTGTCTTGAATGATTTTTTTCACCATATTGTGCATAACCTACGAGTGCTCATCATCAACTAGATAGCTATGCTATACCTTCTACTTAATTCTCTGGATTGCTTAATTTCTAGAAATACATATAATTTTCGCAATGACTTAACCTTTTCCAGGATCACTTGTTGAGAGCTAGTTAATTTTGTAAGCATTGACAATGAAATAAAAGGAAATATTATATGGGCCAGGCAGGTAAGGGTGCCCCCATGGATCCGTACCTAGCTAACATTTCGTTTCCTTTTATAAGGGTGACTTACAGACATGTCCTGAGTCCCATATATATACGTCCCAAGAGTATTGCGCCAGCCTTTCCTTTTCAAAGGGTACGAAAATCTTCTCAGGTTCACTATTCACACTGCATATCCACCTCTATGCTGTGCTGTGCACTTCGGGCATATGATATGACCTACTTGAATGTGATGTTGCTTCACTACAGGGTGACCGTGCCCTAGCTAGCTACAATAATCACATATGCCTCGACAACAACCAATTCTACTAGAGATTTGTATATTGAAGATTAAGACAATTAGAACAATTAGTCCTCGTTCTAATCAGGACAAACAGAATAATTTGTACTAGAGATTAAACCTAATTAAATGTGTACCATTAGAATAAGAGAGATATACAAATCCTATTTACATAATTAAATTTAAAGTAAGGAGACAGAGTATATATCATTAATAATTTATATCCAAAACTTGTTTAGCTAGGTTTCCGGCAGATCTATTCTCACATATTTTACAACTTTCTATCGACCAATGGAAACATGTATAAATTTATATACATTGCACACACCTGTCCATATATAGATCTCGGCAGGTGACCATCATCAAGGATTTTAATTATTCTTGTTGAGTATTGAATAAAAACGTACTATGTGGACTTATTAGACGTTGACTTATAAATAAGCGTAGTTCTTAGTCTTTTATTATATTGAGAAAAAATTTGCTACCAAGTTAAAGAAATCTAATGGAAACAAATGTGTTTACACTTTAAACGGATTCAAGGAGTAAAACCTTTAGCCGTATTTTTTTTACTACGTACTAGATATTATGGACTAAACATATGTAATTTGATAAAAGAATGAGGTTAATTAAGAAAAGGTTGGGGAAAAAGTATGCCTATAAAAACACACGCTATACGACAATAATGCTAAGCTATTTATCATAATACTAATGGGATCAGAAAGAATGCGTGACATGTAATATAACTTAACTGTCCCCTTCTCTGCTCTTTCAAGCTACTTTTGCTTTCCATAAGTTTCTTCTTACCCATCAACTGCTTTTGTTTAATTAGTATTCACTTTCCCTCAAAT